CATTGCACATATTGAAGAGAAGCGATATGATGAAATTCTCCGTTGTTGTTGTTGTTGCTGTTTGTTTGGTTCTTGCAATGACGATAGTCATTGATGGATTCACTGGTAAAGTAATTCTATTAAAAAAAGATCGTATAATAAATATGAGTGTTTATTTTAGTTGATACGGACTCTACAACGATGTATATTCCTGCCGTTGAAACAAACAATGGAGATGTTCAAGAGCGTTTCTCGCAGATAAAACTTAGTAAACGATTCGCAAGTCGGGATCGCTATTGGCCCCAAAATACAGAACTTGTTCGAGGCTGCGGTGCTGACTGTGGCGACGATAAAATTTGTAAAAATTGTAGGGGTCGTTGGATATGTGTTCCAGAAGATGCTCGCTGTTCAATCGAACAATACCCAGATAAATGAATATATTCGTAGAATGACAATGGTATACGTATAGTCTTATAGTTGTAGATGTGTTAAAATAAAGAATGCTCTTGGAGAGACAGGAAATTTTGGATGGCGATCTTGCGTGTTGATTTATTGCGATGTGGGTAATCGAATGTCGTTAACTTGACGATGTTTATTGGATAACGATGCGTTCGTTTTGTTATTGATACTTTAATAAACTTTTAAGATTGAGGTTTATTGGTAGAAGGGAATATAAGAACACTACAACCATAATCTCAATTACGCTTTCCGTTCTAATTTCGCAGTCGCAATTTACACGTTTGACACAAAGTCATTCATTAGTTGAGAAATATTATTCAATTTGGCATACATTAGCACATCGATGTCACAAATGTCAAAGAAGTATCGCTGTAAACACATGAATTATCTTCGGTATAGTTTTGAGAGAAAAGAAAACAATGAATTTCCATAGTATTATTGCTACGACATCAAATATTTCAATGGCTATATGTTGAAGGTTTTGAAGATGAGATCGTTCTTTATATTCAACTGATAGAAACTAGAAAGTGGCGGGTATATTCAGTGAACAAGCCGTCAATGGCGATGATGTGTGAACATTTATCACCGATGGAACATGAAGCAGTGTATAGCAGTAGTGAAAAATCTCACCTCACGTCGTGCTTGTCGTGAGAATATATCACAATTCATTGCCGCATGTTCATCTACATAGATAATAGAGGAAGTAGCTATTTGATCAATTATATAATGGGTTGAACACGAGTATCAATAAAAGAAACGTGTTAACTCTTTCATCGAATTCTAACTGTTTTAAAACACTGATAAAGCATTTACTCAATAAATGTTCACATATTAATGATGCTATTGCTTTGCTTGTTTATTTCATCCATTATAATACATACTGGAACATGTGGCCGGCTGAATATGTATAATGTTGATGTTGCACAAGATAATCATTGCTTGGATTACTTTGTCACTTTTGATGAACTGGCGCAACAATATATCTCCTATTGTTTTCGACCTTCTCCACAGAATGCACGGATATTGGCTACAAAGTTTAACAATACAGCTGATCGTTATTTTACTTTTAAAATGTTATGCGAACAGAATGTAACCAGTCAAGACCTACTTCAATGGTCGGCTACCATCGATCTCGCAGAGCGTTATCAAAATTATTTAGAGCGTGAAAAAGGTCTCGCGTCTTTCGAGAATGAACAATATTTGTTTTACAACTGTTCGTGGTCTTGGTTTGGACCTCTCTGTCAGTTTTCATTCCAAGATTTTCGTAAGGAAGATTTTGGGACGTTTGTTAGGAGTGCTTTCAGGCGGAGAGTTCCTTTCGTTGACGGCTCAATGATGACATGCTATTCGCATCTGAAATGTGAAACATTATTTACATGTCTCGATTGGCGTGATATATGCGATGGAGAAATGGAGTGTCTGGATGGAGCTGATGAATCCGATTGTTGGCCACTCGAAATGAATGAATGTACTGCTGACGAATTTCGTTGCCATAATGGCCAATGCATACCGGCGGTTTTTCTCGCAGATGAACCTGAGTATACAGACTGTTTGGATCGAAGTGACGAACCGATAAATCTCGACTTTGCAGATACATGTTATAAGAATCCTTCTTTTCCATGTGAAGAACGTATGTGTCGTCCAGGTAATCAGGAGTTTCCATGTGGAGATGGCCAATGTATTGGAGAAGTAGATAGAATTTGTTTGAATGGAAAGAGAAATTTTCTTTCTAATGACTCCTGTTTGAACGCAATGAACTGTCTAATGGACATGATTGGTTATAATGAAGAAGAATGGTGTGACCGGCTTTGTCCAGACGTAAGATGTATGTCTGAATATTGCCCAGATTCATTCGAATTTCCTGCCGAACCTGTTCTGTTCGGTCATGTGCGTTTGATANGCAATGAACTGTCTAATGGACATGATTGGTTATAATGAAGAAGAATGGTGTGACCGGCTTTGTCCAGACGTAAGATGTATGTCTGAATATTGCCCAGATTCATTCGAATTTCCTGCCGAACCTGTTCTGTTCGGTCATGTGCGTTTGATATTTGAAACTGAAAAATTAATCGACAATGTTCGCCTACCATCATATGTATGTTACAATGAAGAGTTATGTAATGACTTTTTGTCGCCTACCATCTACATTAATGGTTCTGCCTGTCGTCATCTTAGTCAGTTGAATTTGTCTACAATACAGAGTAGCAGCATTTTTGCTATATTTGTACGTACTCTCAAGCACACTTTTCGTTCTTGTGCAGTTATTCCTAGTGGAACGTATGATTGTAGTCATACAAACGCCTATCAATGCAAGAATTCTACAAAATGCATTTCAAAATCTCGTCTAGTCGACGGCATTAATGATTGTCCTCATCGAGATGACGAAGAATACAAGGAAAGTTGTAAATTGAACGATCGTGATCATCGATTTCAGTGTCTCGATGACGAGAACCGATGCTTTGCACATTCGATCGTTAGGGACGGTCGCTACGAATGTCGCAGAGGAGAAGACGAGGCGAAAGGTACTGTATTACTAAGGATGCGTCATGTCTATTTTCCAACACTTTGTGATGGATATCCAGAACTGAATCCTGTCATAATCGATGGACGGAATGAAACAGATGAAACGGAATGCGAACATTGGCCTTGTAATAATACTTACAATCGATGTGATGGTGTTTGGCACTGTTTCAACGGAGCGGATGAAGTTAATTGTAAAGATTCGATTTGTCCACCTTTTCAACATATGTGTATTTTGCCGAGCAACCCTAACACATTACAGTGTTTGCCCATCAATCAAGCTGGTGATGGTACTATCAATTGTCTCGGAGCGTCCGATGAGCGTCAATACTGTCGAATGAAATTTCAAGACCATCGAGATTTTCGCTTCCATTGCTGGAACGATACCAAATGTACGAGTGAGATCTCTCTATGTGACGGGACCAGAGATTGTAGATTTGGTGATGATGAGCAATTTTGCACGTCTGGCACAGTAGCACTCGAAGAAGAATTTTGTGATGATCCAAAGACGGAACTTGAAAAGTTTATATGTCATTTTAGCGATGTTTCCAGAAACGAAAAAATCGATTTAATATTAAAGAACATAAAAACTTATCCGCCAAGTTTGGAAGCCATCAATGACAAAGTCGAACGATTTCCTATTGATATTCGAAAACCATTGCCTGAAAGCGCCTTAGATGGTGACATCGAAAGTGAATGGACTACACGATGCAACCGTGGATTAAATATTCATGTACGCACGGATAACGATGGAAATGAGTTACAATCGTGTCTCTGTCCCCCAAGTTACTATGGCGATACATGTCAATACCAAAATCAACGCGTTAGTGTTACTTTTCAAGCGCGTGTAGGATCAGATGGACGTACTATTTTTAGTATTTTTATTCTACTGATCGATCATGAAGGGAAAATTCATTCATATGATCAAGTGCAATATTTACCTATTGAAGATTGTAAAACCAAGTTTCATGTTATTCTTCTGTATGCAACTCGACCAAAAGATAACTCGAAGAATTACTCTGTGCGTATCGATGTGTTTAAAAGAATGACGTTAAGTTATCGAGCAAGTTGGATTTTTCCAATTTTATATCCATTTTTGCCTGTGTATCCACTAGCTATTCAACTTCTTATTCCAATTTTACCTGTTCAACCAACACAGCCCTGTCCATTGCCTTGCATTCATGGTCAATGTGTAAAATATACAAATACGGACGATATGTTCTTCTGTCGGTGCGATCGTGGCTGGACAGGCAGCGATTGTTCAATCCCGCAACAATGTGAGTGCGCACCAGATTCACTTTGTATCGATCAATCCATATGTTTGTGTCCTGCTGATAAATTCGGAACACGATGCTATCTCAAAGACATTTCATGTGAGGAAAGTACGTGCTTGAATAATGGTCAATGCGTGCCAGACGATCCACGTTACGGGATGGCGGAGGGTGAAAAGTATAAGTACGTCTGTATTTGCCCCGAAGGATACGAAGGAATTCGATGCGATTATCGTACAACTCAATTGGATGTATCGTTTGCAGATGATTTTACTATTCCTGATTCATTGTTCGTTCATTTCATTCTAGCAAATGATCGCTCACCGCATTTTCGAACAACAACACTGAAAAGAATTCCACTCCATCAAACTAAACTTACGGTCTATGTATCAGCTGGTTTCAATGCTGCGTTTGCGCAATTTGACCACAGATACTATTTGATTGTTCTTCGAGAGTCATCTGCTTTCACAGAACATATTTCAACTGAAATTACTCGTTCAAATCAATGTGTATCCATCGAAGAACTGTTCAATTCCACAATGGTTAATCGTCCTCTATTACGACGTATAAAACATTATCATCTCCTATGTGAACAGCGAAATGAATTGGTATGTTTCTACGATGAAGTTCATTTTTGTTTATGTGATCTCTCTCGGCATGCTAATTGTTTCGGATTCGACTTTAACATGACACATGACTGCCAAGGTTTCAACCCATGTGAAAACAAGGGTCAATGTTTTCAAGATCATCCGACTTGTCCAGTATCGATCATTTGCGTTTGCGACACGTGTTTCTATGGATCACGATGTCAATTTTCGACGAAAACTTTTCGTCCATCATTAGATGCCATTCTCGGCTATCAGATTCGTCCAAAAATTCCCTTCAACCAGCAACCTGCTGCCGTGAAGGTCTCCTTAGCTCTTACTATAATTATATTTGTACTGGGTCTCGCCAATGGATTTTTACTACTTGTAACATTTCGCAAGAAAGAAATACGTAATATCGGGTGTGATATCTATCTGCTCACATCGTCGATAGTGTCTGTGATTATCATCAACGCTTTCTCATTAAAAACTTGTTTTCTTCTTCTAACACAAATGAATCTGATTATTAATCATTCATTTATTCTATTCCAGTGTCGATCAATGGATTTTCTCCTTCGAATTTTTCTCAGTACCAGTGATTGGTTACATGCGTGTGTTGCCACCGAACGAATAATGATTATCTCGAAAGGTACTACTTTTGACAAGAAAAAGAGTAAAAACATAGCTAAATGGATAATCAGCTTTGTTTTTCTCGTCGTTATATGCACAAATGTACAAGAACCATTGCATCGACAACTTATGGACGATGAAGAAGAGCAACGGATCTGGTGTGTGATCAAACTTTCACCATCTGTTCAACTATTTGATTCAATTATCATTCTCTTTCACTTTCTCGTGCCTTTTTCTCTTAACATAGTATCCGCTCTAGTCATTATTGTTGTCACCGCTCGAACTCGATCGAACATCAAGAGAAAACAAACGTATAAAGAACACTTTTACGAACAACTACAAACTCATAAACATCTTCTCATTTCGCCGTCAATTCTCGTACTTTTAGCATCACCTCGTCTCATCATTTCGTTTTTATCCGAATGCATGAAATCTGTTCGAGACCCTTGGTTATTCTTGAGCGGCTATTTTATTTCCTTCGTTGCTCCGATCGTAACGTTTGCCGTTTTCGTCCTACCATCGCAAACGTACAAGCAACAATTTTTTCAATCAGCGAAGTCTTTATGCTATCGCTGAATAAAACTCGATATAATATGCTCTGCTTTGCTTGCGCTAACGCTTGATATCTCATTCGAGTAAACAAACAATCGAATAGTTCGCAGTGAAAAACACCAGACCTCTCACAAAAATATGTATAATTTGTAGCGATTTTTATATTCATTTCAAGATTTGTTACATTTTCACAAGCATAGCTACATCAGTACATTTCATCATGTTTTTTCAATGAAAAATATCATTTTTTTAATCAGCTTTTACTTTCAAAAGATCTTACACATTGTCACTTTTCACAAAATCCACCAATATCAGCACATATCATCTTGATCAAAGATGAATTCTTTTTCATATTCTTAATAATTTTTCACCGATAAATGCCGAGATATTTGTCACCATAAGAGCAACCAAACATACAACAATAATAATAATACGACAATACCTCATGTTGTGTCATACAGAATCGTCGGAAATTATATTTCTTCTTTCATGACGCAACTATACATCTAGATCACATCTATTCACGAGAAACGACAACTTTTTTTCTTAACAAAATTTGTTAGCCTCTCTCTCTTTTTTACAGCCATAGGAATGGCGAAAACCAGTACGGAAGCATGTCTGACTATTGCGTTAATTTGACTGGAAACAAGTTATACAACTAAAGGCGTGCAGTTCCTATGATTGTACGACTTGTTATTCAGACACTGATGATGCTGGTACTAAGCTTCGTGGTTATTTTACTTGCACTGCTGAACATAGAGAATATAAAGAATGCGGCCCCGATACCAGATACAAATGAGCTGCTCCTTGTATCGACTACCGTCAGTGAGGACTTAGGTGTTTCATACTCATGAGCTTCAGTCCCAATAGCGTTCACAAAATTCTATGCTTGTTTTATTTCACAGATGTACACCCACACCCTCAAGATCTTATCACAAACTATAGAGTGAAATTTTGTGCACTCTCTGTACGCTACTTTTTTTCATTGCACTGACTTAGTTTCTCTCGTTTTTACTCGCCGTTCGTAGACCATATAAATCCAGAACGGAAGTATAGAAGCAGATTATTTTCACATTCGTATATTACAACGTCAAATAACAGTGAACAGCCATAGCAAAGATAGTGTTTATCAAGCTGTTTGCATCAAAGAGAGTAGTCTTACTAATTGAAATAGTCATGTTACTTGCGATGACCGTGGCCGGATCCATAGAAATTGTGGCGAACATACGACATGTATATCCCAGAATATCAGACATTAGAATATTATGAACAAATTTTTATATATAGAAAGTGAATACTACGAATGTCGACATTTCTTTTCCATGCGCAAATCTTCATAGAATGTCATTGAATTACTGTGTGCAATGTATGAGTCTAATCTTGTTTTGAAATAATTTAACCACTTTGGTGTAAACAATATATAATGAGACACAGAGAAAAAGAAGAATTAAATTCTGTGCACACATTTCTATATATACATATCAATATGCGTAAACACATACGTCATACAATAAAGCATAGTCGCGCGCAATATGTCTTTATGTAGATGAGTGGTAAAAATAACCCACTCATTGTATCTTCCCCACCGTCATAGCCGTTTACTGCGACGCAGTAGAAGGTTTGAATGATAAACAAGGTCTTCCACTCCGTATATCTGTCGACAACGAGCGTATATATATACTTTCTAAACGACACCACGGCGCATCTCATTTACTTACACTCTTTTCTTCTCAATAACAATGTCGAAAGTCAACAACAAAACTTTTTTGGTTATGCTGCTGGTCTTGTTAGCGACCAGCTGCATGATTGAAGCAACATCGTTCCGCGATTTGATTAGCAAAAGTAGTTTAAATAGTATTGGAAAGCGAGCTGCTTTTTGTCAAGCTGGTTGCACTGCTTGCTTATGGGAAGGTGGTTCTACAGGTGGTTTGAACGGCTATGNTGGTTTTATTGCTATGGAGCTAGGAAGTACATCGTTTAAAGATCAACTCGTATATCTTCATCAAACGCATTACAAGTCAAGAAGAACGGGTTATGATTACATTCCAGCTGTTGAAAGAAAAAATATTTGGATTCAATTAGTTAATATTATCTGGGCACTGCATCGACATAATATCGTAAATCATTTTTTCGTACAATTTGATGAAGGTAAAGACTTCGGTCGTTCTCATTTAGGTTCATCGTGATTTGAAACCAGCGAACTTGGTGTTCTTCGGACCAACATTGAAACTGATTGATTTTGGTATCGCTCAAGATGCACATTCACTGTAAACTTCGATCTTTGTTTCGACTTCTTATCTCTTTTTGTTATAGATATAATCCACATCAACGGGGTGGTAGTCATCCTTATAGTGCACCTGAATGCTTTACACGTCAGATGCCTATAACATCAAAAGCTGATATATGGTCTATTGGTGCGATTTTGTATTATACAACTTACGGAAAGTCACCTGTTCATGAAAGTCCACGAGCACCGATGGGTATTCCGCCCACCCAATCGAATCTTGTGCAAAGTGTTCTGTATCATAGTCTTCAGCGTAATCCGTACAGACGAGTGGATCATCATTGGCTTATTGAACATCCACTGACGAAAAGTAATGCGGCGTTTTAAATTGATCTAGTTAATTCTTTGCAAAAATAAATTGTCTACTTTGAAAATATTTTGACGTATCATACAAACTTGCTGTGAGTTAGAAAACATGAAAGTATGTCACAATTACTGTCAGACATACAGATAAACGGCTAAAAATGGAATATTATATCACATGTCTACATATTGACAAAGACTTTAAGAGATGGAGAGATATTTTATAAGCGGATTACCAAGTAAATAAAAGAAGTCATTCCATTATTAAAAATCGTATAGAATTTATTCTTCTTTATTTATTTTCTATATAAATGTTTATATAAGCCAACGATTTTTGTATTCGTTTCTTTTCATCTTTGCGAATGCCAATTCCTAACTATACTCGAGATTGGTTCTCAGTCATTCCTTATCATCGCTATTTGCAATCTCTATCACTTGTTGATACATCAAGCACTCCGCAACACACTAAGTGATTATTCGTTCCTTAAACTGTGGACTCCCTAAAATCCTCACCGGTACGATCTGGTATGCTTATTTCAATTTCAAGAACGTTGCTCTGCCAACAACACCAACATTTTGTCTCACTTGGATGTATTGTACTGCAATTCTCAATATCATGGCGTTCTTTCTCATATCATAGACATCCATCGAACGGCATATTCTCATTTTCTATCCAGTACTTTTCGCAACATCAATAAAACGTTGTGTCTTCTATTCTATTCCATTCGGAGCATTATACTGGGCACGTAAACGCTATATATGCGTATCTCATGATACTTGGTTGGCTTTATGAGACGGTATGGTTCATCATATTATGTCAGGATTTATAGTTGCCGCACTCAGTGTTGCGCTTCTAGTCCGAGTTGTTCAAAGCCGCTATTGGATTCATCAACGAGCTCAGTGGAGAAGCTATAAACAAATGACAAACAAACTGATTTCAATCTGAGTCATCTGTCATATCTACAGGTGTAATCTTCAGGAAAGTTGGTAAGGTCGGCACATTACAACAACAACATAGCGGATAGATAATGTTCGATAATGATTTTGGGAAAAGATAGAAAAGAAAAAAGTAGATATTGTTTTAGATGTTGTAAACATGTTTTGTGTTTATCTCTACTTTTACTGTTATGGAAAAGCGTTATTCTGATTTCTGCATTCCACGCTGTGAACCACCCTAAGGGCATAACCGTCATATATTGTAGTAATGTTCAAAATTCGTAAATAAATGGATATAATACACAAAATAAGTAATACTGTATCAAACGTACTAGACATCGTTTCGTATAACTACTCAATTTTTATGCATCAGACAGATTCTTAGGCGCTTATCCTCTGAATAGTGACTATCCAAAGAATCTGACAATATGCTAGACGTTAATGCTCCACATTCAGGTATTTTATTCCACTTCTGTCATTCATTTCACGATTAACACATATAAGATTCTATTTTAAGGCACACTGATACACAAGTAAACGTTAATCGCGTACAAAAAAAGAGTGTTTATTTTTGTAGACCCAAACGTGAGCGTATCGTTCTCTCATAAGCCTTGACTGTTTTGTTAAATTTCTCTTTATACACTTTCGATGGTGCGACAAATATAGCGAATGTAAGTAGTGATGGTATGAATGAGATAAAATATCCAATAAGAAATAGCCAAGAGTCTCGAGCAGATTTCATACAGCCCGAAACAAGTGATATAATTAGACGTGGTAAAGCGAGAAGAATTAAAATACATGGCGCAATCAATAGGTTTTTATGCTGCTGAAATTGTTTGCGCAAAACTGTTCGATAACTTCCATCTACTTGAGTTGACGTTTTCAAACGCGCTGTTGTGTAGATAATAACAATGGCTGCCATAAGATTGATAAGAAATGGTGAACCAAAATGAAATATATGAACACCGAGGTTAAATTTCTCAATTGCAGACGAATAAGTCACGATACACCAAAGTCGCTTCTCATCGTTCGTATCTTCATCAAGTAAACGACGATAGATTGGTTCTTGGATATGCGTGCCGATGTTTACAATTAATAGGACAAGAATAAGATACTTTGCCGCCTGTTTACTTTTTTGTTTGTTAAAACTTACACCCTTGATTGCCATAAAAACGCGCTCGATCGATACACATGCATTTAACCATTGATCCATGTTGAGACCAGTTCGAACGAGAAAATCCAATGTTCGACATTGCAGTTCGAGATAAGTTCGATTGGTTTTGGAAGTCATTTGTGCATCCAAAAGAATCCAAAATTTCAATGAAAAGATTATCATGATGAAAAATGTTACGATCGATGACGCTAAGAGATAACTTCCACAGCCGATATCGCGTTCACATTTCTTCGAAAACGTTATCATCGTAAGAATACTGTTGACCAAGCCAGAAATAGCTAAAACCAGAGCGAAACCAATACTAAACTTTACAATTGCTGGCTGTTGCACTATATTGACATGTGATCGGATATGATAACCTAGAATACCATCAAGTGAAAGACTAAAACCGCTGGTACTAAATTGGCAATGTGTGCCAAAGAAACAAGTCGCACAGATGCACATGGCTACTTGAGGACAAGTGATACTATCTTCTAAACATTGTCCACCATTTTGACATGTGCTTCGGCCACGGCAATCACGTTTGAGCGTATGATTAAAATCCATGCAATTAGCCAGACGTTGATTTTGAAAATCATTGCATAAACAAAAATGATAATCATCATAAAAACACGAGATGTTTCGTGCGTGTTGTTGGCATGGTAGATGGTAATGTTTTATACGACGAATCAGATGTAGTTGAGAGAATGTTTCATTGAAATATTCTTTGATATGAATACAACGATCGGATGGTGTTAGAGTTTTTTCTAACGTCGATGAACTGTTCGGTGTCAATCGTACAGTAATCAGATAATAGTTATTGGTAAATAATTCCACGAACGCGATATGATATGGGCGATTCCAATAGACAACGACCGACTGTCGATCGAGAGGAATCGCTTTGAAAGTAGTGCCAATTTCTGGTTCCGAATGGTTTACTATTTGAATGAAATGTACGATCATGGATTGTGGCAATTGAATATCATTATGGAATGTTAGACTAAGTTTACTTTGAGATATCTCACACGTTTCACCTAGGAAGCCGTCTGCACAAATACATGTAAATATTCGTGTCGATAGCGAATGTTCATTTTTAGGGATACATTGACCATTATTTTCACATGTTCGATTTTGCTGGCATGTATAATCGTCAAGTAAACAACGTGGGCCCCATTTGTTGAGCGGGCAAACGCATAACGAACGTTTATTCGCTAGAAGACCAATATCTGATGCTTTGGATGAGCAAGTTGAATCGTATTCGATGGTACAATACCGACCCGACCATCCGACATTACATTGACAAAATGTTGAATCATCTGGGTCATTAAAATAACGCACGCATTGACCATGGACACACTGAGAATCAAAGCAAAACATGGTCTGGTCGTTTTGGTAGGGAATATGCAGTTGAGTAGCAACACGTTCGATAGGCAAGAATGAAAATGGTAAAAGTATTAATAGACTTCCACGATAGAACAACGAGATTTTCTCAAAGATGTCAATGTGTATCGAATATTTATTCGTTTCATTTTTCGGTTGAGTTAAGTAAGTTAAATACATATGAAATTTTCTCTTGCAATCTTGTGTGTATACGAATGTGAGTTGATGATGCGAATGGATCGTTCGTTGAAAAGTATGATCGATAAGTGTAACAATGATTAAAAATGGAATTTTCCACGAATCGGAATATGCTTGAAATCTGATGGTTAAACTCACTCGTTGAGATTGGTATTGACATTGATTACCGTGGTAACTTGATGGACAAAGACAGGTCAGTTTGGTCGCATTAGTTTTGTCACCTGGCCGAACTCGTAACGGAAAACCTCGAAAGCAATGCAGTGGTTGTCGAGAATCTTTTGTCGTCTGTCGTAACATTGTATTGCCGTCAGATTTCACAGTTGATGACTTTATTTGATCAAGAGCAAAGTGAATGCGCCGTGATTGCCGTGAACGGTGAACTACTTTGCACAAGTACTGTTCACTATCTGAACGAATTGCATGGTAATCGTCAACACAAATCGATTTACCCAGGCTAAGATTTCGAGTATGGTTACAAAACCGTATCAGATTTCCATGCGCACAATGTTCATTTTCATTACAAACATATCGCTCGAAGACACATCGTGTATCAATCAATTTCTTACAATAAAAGTCCATCTTGTCAACCAAAAACTCCTGCGTTCGACATAATACCGGTTCGTCGATTCCCCAAAGACAGTCAACTTGACCGTTATTGATTTTATCAGAAGTCATACATATAGGCAAATTTGAATTTGATGATAGACAAATTTGCTGGTCGACCGAACAATTCAACGGCAATGACGAATAGCAACCAACTTCGTCAGCTCCGTTTGGACAATTCCAAATATTATTGCAACGGGTATAGATATTGTTACACGTCCACTGTTCGCATTCGGTTTCATCATTGTCATTTCGTTCTCCGTCGGTCGATATGAGCCGTAATTCGGTAAAACCATCACAAATTGCTGGAAACGATATATGTCGAGCAATATGATAACTTTCACCGAGATGCTCATCATCACAAAATCCGTTATGATCCTGTGTGCAGTCACATTGACCATCACTGACCTTAGTTCGATGAATACACTTGCGGTCCATTGCACAATAAAAAAGTACATCGGATAAATCCATAGGGCATCTGGTAACATTATTCAAAATGGGATATTCATCATCGCCGTATTCACAATCTCGTTTACCATTGTAACGACGCATGATCGGGATACATTTTCTTGAGCTCTGACATTGGTATACAGATTTGCTGTCACACGAGATCGATTCATTTACAAATATGGTTTGACATTTTCCAAGAACTCTGGATACGGGATAAGGATACGCTTGATTCCATGGTAGTTGCTGCGGTCGTGTCGGAAATTTGATGTAAAGATCTCTCGGACTACGGCATGTCACATTATTGAAGATGAATGAATCGCCGAGAACTGGAATTTCTCCGCAGAGATGTTCATCATAACAGATATAATCAGGCGCATTCTTCATTGTTAATGAATAATCGATGTTTGCTTTTTCATAAGCTAAATAAATATGACCAGAATGAATCGGGATTGCAGGCATAAAGAATCGATTTGGACAATGTTCTTCTATTAGTAATTTGCAAGATTCACTGCGCATACATATATTAGCACAACGTGGATCTCCATCTGGCAAACGAAGTTGACATTTGAGTGCGGACCAGCAAATATCCGGCATTGAAGGTTCTTTCTCAGAGAAAATATATTCTACTGATTTACCTATCATGAGTCTTACACAGGATCTGGAAGATAATACGAGATATTCAAAAACCTTTACTTTACACACGACATCTTCATATGCAAATGATGGTGGCAACATCGTTTCGTAATAAAATGCGCCTCCGAAGTTTCGTTCGTCTGAAGCATCGAGACAATCAGGAACATGAGGATCATCATTGAAAAATTCCAATGGAATGCACGATCCATCTTGGCATTGAAATTCATCCGTTTTACACCTGTGCACTTCGAGTTGCCAACAATTTAGTTCATCACTTCCATCGGAACATTGATTTATTTTATCACAAATATGATCCCAGTCAAGGCAAAATGAAACCGAGCCAATTTTACATTGAAGACCAGTGTAACATATGATGCCGAGTTGCATATAGCTTTTATCTGTGTAAAAATCATCAAGAATTTCATTTAATGACGAAAAAGAACTTTGAAAGTTCAGAAACGAGTATTGACACATTCGACCGAATTGCGGTAATGTACAGTTATAATATTTTCTTGTTGCTAACGATGCATCGCCGAACATATCAAGTCTATTCAAATACCATTGATATTCTTCGATGACATCAACAGGCGCAGACCAATGATACAGATCATTACTGGTGATACGCTGTGTGTAAAGATCAGCAAACGTAAAGATTTGCTCGTAATCATATTCTTCGTCATGCCATTCATGCATACAGTATGGAATTACTTCGTAAAAATCTGTATTTCCTTTGCTTGGGACAGTAACATAAAGACAATTATGTTGTGTCGTATCGGTACTTCTGTTTAAATTTACTAAATCGAGATTAATATGAAGAGAAACGATAGTTGAAGACGCATATGTTAAGTAGAATAAAATATGTGAAAAACCCATTTGACCTTAATTGACTGTGATAATGTCGTTACAACTGAAAAGAACAATTTTGTTAAAAGCAGCCCTAGAAACAGTTTTGCTTATGACTTTCATATTCTTTTCCTATCAATCTTAGCATGTTGTATTATATGCAGGTGCCAGAAGAGAGAACATGAAATCGACTTCTCTGACGTCAATCATTGAGTGTATTAGACAAATAACAATATTAAACTCTTTCTTCGCATGAAAACTCTGCTATTAATCATATCATATCAACATGATTTTTCTGGAATAAATTGTTATTCAAATGATGACTTTCTTTTTATTTCTGGTCATATTCTAGTCAACTAAATAACCTAAATTCTTTCAACTCGCCATCGGAAAAATAAGAAGTGCCATGACTAGTTCTAGCACCTCTTACGAAATTACCTTTATGCCAATCGCCCTCATTCCATTTCATTAAACTTTTGTCATGCAGCTTTCTGTTCACAAAATCACTAATGCACTCTGTAACATCACTATAAATAATTATAGGCATCCGTATAATTATCACTATTTGTCCACGATATTTCACCTTGAACAGTTCTTTCACCATTTCTAATGTTCCTTTTCTATTGAGAACCTTCTCTCCACGGGTGACAACATCCTTAAATAAGCCAACATATTTTGTGCTATCAGATAAAATTGAAGTACTCTCGCCATATTTTGTTCGCCATTTGAATAGCCGATTGTTAATTATATAACCAATACAAACATTCTCAAATAAAGCTTCCAGTACACTTTTGAGATACGTTGAGAAATCATATGTGTCAAAGTCACGCTGGATCCTTAATTGCGCATTGTCATCTTTTTTTATGATTCATCAAACTTTAATCACTATCATTCTCGTCGATACCCGGCTTGCTGAAAGCTCGAGCTTCCCTTGGGTAAAGCACGACAAGTGCGCTACAACCCAATAATCTATAATGAGGCATAATCTCAACAATGAACACAATAAATACTAAAACATTGAGCGTGCATATCAAGTATCTCTGCCTTTGCGCGACTGATAGAGTTTATAATGCGACTGTATACGTGTGTATATGTGTATCGATAGACGACAACAGAGACAGACAGAAAGGAATGAATGAATGACTGATCTAAAATATTTGTCATTAGTTTCATTTCACACTGATTAGTTGTTCATAAATTACCGTCACCTGACAAATGTGTGATGTGAACCAAGCTGCTACATTCTTTTCTTGTGGGTATACCGATTTAGCGTATATCATTCCATGGATTTGTAAGTTTTGCGCTTATTATTTCTGGCAAAAAATACATGTGTACTTGCAAGAAGAACAGATGTCTCCATATCTACATACACCAAACTAGAAGTAATTATTTGCCCGGGTTTATTCTACTCTGGTTGTTATGTATATACTGAATCGATTCACAAGAAAAATGAAAAAAAAGATTAGAAGGGGAAAATGTTCAAATTAGCAGCAGCAAACTCGTGGACATGTTTTGCAGCAGACAGTCTTCTTGACGACTTTGACAACTGGTCGATAGCAGACTGTTTTGGTGACGGTAGTTTTCTTGCGTACACAACATGGAGCACAACATGGATCACAGCATGAATCACAACATGAACCACATCCACATCCAGAACTACAGCATGAGCCGCATCCACATCCAGAACTGCAGCATGANACAAAACTTTTTTGGTTATGCTGCTGGTCTTGTTAGCGACCAGCTGCATGATTGAAGCAACATCGTTCCGCGATTTGATTAGCAAAAGTAGTTTAAATAGTATTGGAAAGCGAGCTGCTTTTTGTCAAGCTGGTTGCACTGCTTGCTTATGGGAAGGTGGTTCTACAGGTGGTTTGAACGGCTATGTTACTTGCGATGGTCGTGGTTGGGTTTATCGCGATTGTGGTGCCGGTACTAACTGTAAGAAAGCTGCTAATTGTCAAGTTTATTGTGGTTGAAGAATCGCAGGTGTTTGCTCCATCATGCAAATGAACTGAATTTTTATATCTTTCTTCATTTTAATTTTCGGTGACTAATAAAATGTGTTCAGAATATTCAACTATCATGCTATAGTTTGTTTCTAAATTAACTATGACTATCCTCGGTATTTGGCATGATTTGTTCCAGGGGTGAAAGCTTCGATAATTTTGATTGTATTCAACTTGATATCATTAAACGAAATAAGTGAATGCATTAATTTATTAATAGCAAAAAAAATAATAAAATAGTCTGAAAGCGACCTGCCGCCTATAATTCGCTTTCTCGGTTGTAAAAAGCTAACTTTGAGTCTCGCTCGATGTGAGTACACTCCGCCGTGTCTACGCATAAATCCTTTATTGTCACGAGAAGACGATGAGAGCGTAAATCGAGACTGGAGGAAAAGGATGCATCTGGAAGACGTGTTAGGATACGTTTGTAAACGCGTTCATACAGAAAAATCTTCTGCATGACACTTTCTTTTATCAGTTGATTCAAGTCTGAGTGATATATGAATTATGACACTATAGACTGCTAAGTTACGAAGATAATTTGATGATTTTTGAGTTTGTTTTGAAATGAGAATTCGGGCGTATCCTGAAGAACACTTTTGGTGAAAAAAAAGCGACTTCTCTTGTTCAAACAATACCTCTTGAAAGCCTTGAATTTCAGGTTATTTTACCTGAGAATAACGATAGTAGTCATTCCTCATGTTGAGTGACACTAATCAACTCGAAAGATTTCTCTTATCCAGAAACTAACGTATGACGGAGTTCGTTTGTTCTTTGAAAACTAATTCGTATTACTCAAATCTCATGGCTTTCAATAAAAATTCGCTGGATATTTTTCTCATTGACAAGTTTTTAATATAAGAAACAATTCTGAAAAAGTTGCAAGTATTTCCTCTGTATCGACAATGTACATGATTATTATGTAAAAATTAACAGACACTCGGTATTTCCCGCTTGAAATACCATATTTTTTCATGAAAATTATTCTCTAGGGCAAACCAAAATTTCCCAACTAAAAAATCGAAAAGAAACACTTTCCACAAAGTGGATGGATGCCCGTGAATTTCTTCACTAATATGCAATGACAACTGCATTATTCAGTCTTTTGCTTGAACACTGTGTTCTGGGGACGTCTGAAAAATACTTTGATACTCTAAGGAGTATTATTTTATTTCAAGTAGGAACTGTTGACCTGTATGTTTTCTACTTGTTAGGAACTCATCGATGTGAAAAAGATCTATTCGAAGTTTTTTGAGAGAAAAATATTTTCTTCGTTCTTTATTTTACTATATAATAAAAAGTAAAGTATTTGAAATCTCTATCGTTATTTAATACAGTAACACTTTTATTCGACGTGTCTTCATTCTACGAATAAAATAATCTTTTTCGAGAATTCATTCGCGAACAATATTAACATGAATACTATTTTAAATATTCCACTTACTCGACAAATCACATTTGGCTTTTTAATTACTTTAATACTCCCATCTGTTCTTGGTTCTTGCTTTGTATTCTACCGTATTACACGAAATAAACAGATGTTTAAGCAATTAAATAATCAATTTATTTTTTGTCTTTTTATCGTTTATTTCATTCAGGTAAAATCATTTCCATTCATTCTTCAAACAAATATTCTATTCACATCTAGACAACATTGGATTTACCTTTGACAATTATCTTTCTTTATCGAGGTGTCGTAGCCGTACAAACTCAAACATTTTGCGCATATTGGTATATTTTAATATCTGTTCTTGATATGCTTATTTATCAATTGAACGTTATTTACTCGTATTTCACAACAAATTTCTATTCAAGTAAGCTTGAAAGATAGGAAAATCGGTATGTCATTGTAGTGATTTAGATATAAGATTATTTTACATTACATACCATTGGTTCTAATTCCCATCAGTTCATTTATCTTTGTATATGGTGTTGTCATGCTCTATCCGTGCGAAAATCATTTTGTTTATTACGCCATTGCATGTGGTGCTTCATGCTCGATCTTAACTCCCGATTTTGGAGTCTTTGCATGGACAGTTTCATTTGTTGTACCACTCACGATTATTATCTTTTTCAATATTTTTCTTCTCGCAAGAATTCTTCTTCACAAACGACGAATGTTACAGAAAGACGTTTGGCAAAAAAATAAAGGCATGATCTTACAACTTTTATCTATCACTGGAATGTTATACATTTCCTGGCTGCCTATCACTCTTACTACGGTCATCAGTCTGGCACATCCAACACCAGTTTTATCAGAAATTCAAGGCTATTGGTTATTGATTGGTTTAATTTACATTCCTGTACTATGTTCACCAATAACAACTAGTTATGCAATGCCAGAATTGCGAAATGATATTCGTGGATGGCTCAAGCAAAGACGTCCGCGTGTCGGTACCACTCGAGCTGATCCCGTTAATCCAACTGGAACGCATTGAAACATAATTTCGAACTGTCTAATTGATCAATCAATTTTTCGTAGCGATCGCCGTGTGTCATTGAAGAGCGTCTATATCATTAATAAAAAAAAGCTATCAGTCTCTACTATCCTTTTTTTTCATATGACACAGACATGAACCCCGTAAACATCAGCATATTTGTGTTTGATCACATTGTAGTTTTGAATGTTAATGTTTATGCAGAAAGGCTTTTTCCATTTGCTGTAATTATTCATTAGCTCATTAGTAGATAATTTGATTGCATCAAGGAAGTCGTTTTTCCTCGTGTTTTGCTCCGCGTAGGAAGGCACAGGTGACACATAAAATCATGACATACATACAGACATCTGATTTTTTTCTTCCTGCGTCGACAACGCATATGACTCTTCTTCCTTTGGTTTCATAACGCCTCTCATATAAAATCATTTTCCATCGATAAATAAAAATCAAATTTTCCAATATGCATCCGACACAATATTCAAGTATGTCAAATTCGTAGCAATCTACGCATGTTCAAAGTTAATTTTTCTGTAGATATGACTTATCCAATGCCTTCACGCGATGGCTGGCTTCAAAATCGAACGGTTCATATTCAAGGTGAACCGTTCAGATTGTTGAATCAATTAGGTCAAGGAAGATTCGCATCAGTGTGGAGATCGCGAACGCGAGACGGTATTTTTCCAGGAATCGTTTTCGCATTGTGATTGACAGCGAAATTGTTTTTCTAGGTTATTATGCCGCTGTCAAAGTATTCGATTTCAATCAAGCGAGAAACAACATCAACTCCAATCAACGACTGAGTTCGTTCGAAAATGAAATTGAAATGATTCGTCGATTACAGAATGAAATCGATTATGTTGTTACTTTGTATTCATTCGATTTGGATCGACAGAAACAAATTGGTTTTATTGCTATGGAGCTAGGAAGTACATCGTTTAAAGATCAACTCGTATATCTTCATCAAACGCATTACAAGTCAAGAAGAACGGGTTATGATTACATTCCAGCTGTTGAAAGAAAAAATATTTGGATTCAATTAGTTAATATTATCTGGGCACTGCATCGACATAATATCGTAAATCATTTTTTCGCACAATTTGATGGAGGAAGAAACTTTGATCTTTCTCATTTAGGTTCATCGTGATTTGAAACCAGCGAACTTGGTGTTCTTCGGACCAACATTGAAACTGATTGATTTTGGTATCGCTCAAGATGCCCATTCACTGTAAATTTCTATCTTTTTCTTTGACTCCTTATCTCTTTTTGTTATAGGTATAATCCACATCAACGGGGTGGTAGTCATCCTTATAGTGCACCCGAATGCTTTACACGTCAGATGCCTATAACATCAAAAGCTGATATATGGTCTATTGGTGCTATTTTGTATTACACGACTTACGGAAAGTCACCTGTTCATGAAAGTCCACGAGCACCAATGGGTGTCCCGCCAACCCAATCGAATCTTGTGCAAAGTATTCTGCATCATAGTCTCCAACGTAACCCGTATAGACGAGCGGATCATCATTGGCTTATTGAACATCCATTGACGAAAAGTAATGCGGTGTTTTAAATTGATCTAGTTAATTCTTTGAAAAAATAAATTGCCTACTTCGAAAAAAATATTTTCATATGTCATACAACTTGCTGTGAGTTAGAAAACATGGAAGTACGTCACAATTACTGTCAGACAAACAGATAAAGTATTAAGAATGGAATATTATATCATATATCTACATATTGACAAAGACTTCGAGAGACAGACATATTTTATAAGCGGATTGTCAAATAAATAAAAGAAGTCATTCCATTATTGAAAGTCATACAGAATTCATTCTACTTCTTTTGTCTTGTATATAAATCTTTATATAAGCCAACAATTTTTGTATTCGTTTCTTTTCATATTTGCGAATGCCAATTTCTGACTATACTTGAAGTTGGCTTATTAGTCATTCCTCTCATTTCATCTCTTATCATCGCTACTTGCAATCTTTATCACTTGTTGATATATCGAACTGGGTAATCATTCGTCTCTTATAACCAGTGGACTCCTTAAAAACCTCACCGATATATCATCTAGTATGCGTATTTCAATTTCAACAATGTTGCTCTTTCAACAGCGCGAAGATTTTGTCTCACTTGGATGTATTGTGAAGCAAATCTCCATATCAGAAAACGTTGTCTCTTCTATTCCATTCCATTCGGCGCATCATACTGGGTACGTAATCGTGATATATGCATATCTCATGGTACTTGGTTGACTTTATAGGACGGTATCGTTCATCGTATTATGGCAGGATTTGTGGTTTCCGCATTCAGTATTGCGCTTCTGGTCCGCGTTGTTCAAAATCGCTATTGAATTCATCAACGAGTTGAGTGGAGAAGCTATAAACGAATGACGGGCCAACTGATTTCAATCTCAGTCATTTACATAGTGTTGAATCTACCAGTGTAATCTTCAGGAAAGTTGGTAAAGTCGGTACATTACAACAACAACAACAACGGATAGCTAATGTTCAATAGTGATTTTGGGAAAAGATAGAAAAGAAAGAATTAGACATTGTTATAGATGTTATAAACATGTGTTGTGTTTATCTCTACTTTTACTGTTGTAGAAAATAAGTGTTATTCTGATTTCCGCATTCCACGCTGTGAATCATCTTGAGGGCATAACCGTCATATATTGTATTAATGTTCAAAATTCGTAAATAAATGGATATAATACACAAAACGTACCAGTCATCGTTTTGTATAACTACTCAATTTTATGTATCATACAGATTCTTAAGCGTTTATCCTCTGAATAATGATTGTCGCCATTGTTACTTATCCGGCCACATTACTATTGTCTGAACATAAATAGAAAACTTATTTTAAGAATCTAACAACATGCTAGACGTTAATGATCCACATTCAGGTATTTTATTTCACTTTTGTCATTCATTTCACGATTAAAACTAATGAACTTTTATTTCAAAGCACATACTAGTACACAAGCAAACGTTAATCACGCACAAAAAAAGAGCGTTCATTTTTATAGACCGAAACGTGAGCGTATCGTTCTCTGATAAGCCTTGACTGTTTTGTTAAATTTCTCTTTATACACTTTCGATGGTGCGACAAATATCGCGAATGTAAGTAGTGATGGTATGAATGAGATAAAATATCCAATAAGAAATAGCCAAGAGTCTCGAGCAGATTTCATACAACCGGAAACAAGTGATATAATTAGACGTGGTAAAGCGAGAAGAATTAAAATACATGGCGCAATCAATAGGTTTTTATGCTGCTGAAATTGTTTGCGTAAAACTGTTCGATAACTTTCATGTGTTTGAGTTGACTTTTTTAAACGCGCCGTTGTGTAGATAATAACAATGGCTGCCATAAGATTGATAAGAAATGGTGAAACAAAATGAAATATATCAACACCGAGGTTAAATTTCTCAATCGCAGACGAATAAGTCACGATACACCAAAGTCGCTTCTCATCGTTCGTATCTTCATCAAGTAAACGACGATAGATTGGTTCTTGGAGATGCGTGCCGATGTTTACAATTATTAGGACAAGAATAATATACTTTGCCGCCTTTTTACTTTTTTGTTTGTTAAAACTTACACCTTTGATTGCCATAAAAACGCGTTCGATCGATACACATGCATTTAACCATTGATCCATGTTGAGACCAGTTCGAACGAGAAAATCCAATGTTCGACATTGCAGTTCGAGATAAGTTCGATCAGTTTTGTAAGTCATTTGTGCATCCAAAAGAATCCAAAATTTCAGTGAAACGATTATCATGGTGAAAAATGTTACGATCGACGACACTAAGAGATAACTTCCACAGCCGATATCGCGTTCATCTTTCTTCGAAAACGTTATCATCGTAAGAATACTATTGATCACGCCAGAAATAGCTAAAACCAGAGCGAAGCCAATACTAAACTTTACAATTGCTGGCTGTTGCACTATATTGATATACGGTCGGATATGATAACCTAGAATACCATCAAGTGAAAGACTAAAACCGCTGGTGGTAAATTGGCAATATGTGCCGAAGAAACAAGTCGTACAGATGCACATGGCTACCTGAGGACAAGTGATACTATCTTCTAAACATTGTCCACCATTTTGACATGTGCTTCGTCCACGACAATCACGTTTTAGTGTATGATTGAAATCCATGCAATTAGCCAAACGTTGATTTTGAAAATCATTGCATAAACAAAAATGATTATCATCGTAAAAACACGAAATATTTCGTGTGCGTTGTTGGCATGGTAGATGGTAATATTTTATACGACGAATCAGATGTAGTTGAGAAAATGTTTCGTTGAAGTACTCTTTGATATGAATACAACGATCGGATGGTGTTAGAGTTTTTTCGAGCGTCGATGAACTATCCGGTATCGATCGTACAGTAATCAGATAATAGTTATTGGTAAATAATTCCACGAACGCTATATGATATGGGCGAGTCCAATAGACAACGACCGACTGTCGATCGAGAGGAATCGCTTTAAAAGTAGTGCCATTTTCTGGTTCCGAATGACTTACTATTTGAATGAAATGTACAATCATGGATTGTGGCAATTGAATATCATTGTGGAATGTTAGACTAAGTTTGCTTTGAGATATCTCACACGTCTCGCCTAGGAAACCGTCTGGACAAATACATGTAAATGTTCGTGTTGATAGCGAGTATTCATTTTTAGGAATACATTGTCCATTATTTTCACATGTTCGATTTTGCTGGCATGTATCATCGTCAAGTAAACAACGTGGGCCCCATTTGTTGAGCGGGCAAACGCATAACGAACGTTTATTCGCTAGAAGACCAATATCTGACGCTTTGGATGAGCAAGTTGAATCGTATTCGATGGTACAATATCGACCAGACCATCCGAGATTACATTGACAAAATGTTGAATCATCCGGGTCATTAAAATAACGCACGCATCGACCATGGACGCACTGAGAATCGAAGCAAAACATGGTCTGATCGTTTTGGTAGGGAATATGAAGTTGAGTAGCAACACGTTCGACAGGCAAGAATGAAAATGGTAAACGTATTAATAGACTTCCACGATAGAACAATGAGATTTTCTCAAAGATATCGATGTGTATCGAATATCTATTCGATTCGTTTTTCGGTTGAGTTAAGTAGGTTAAATAGATATTAAATTTTCTCTTGCAATCTTGTGTGTATACGAATGTGAGTTGATGATGCGAATGGATCGTTCGTTGAAAAGTATTATCGATAAGTGTAATAATGATTAGAAATGGAATTTTCCACGAATCGGAATATGCTTGAAATCTCATGGTTAAACTCACTCGTTGAGATTGGTATTGACATTGATTACCGTGGTAACTTGGTGGACAAAGACAGGTCAATTTGGCCGCATTAGTTTTGTCACCTGGCCAAATTTGTAACGGAAAACCGCGAAAGCAATGCAGTGGTTGTCGAAAATTTTTTGTTGTCTGTTGTAACAGTGTACTGACGTTAGATTTTACAAATGATGATTGTATTTGATCAAGAGCAAAGTGAATATGCCGTGATTGTCGTGAACGGTTAACTGCTTTGCACAAATACTGTTCACTATCTGAACGAATTGCATGGTAATCGTCAACACAAATCGATTTGCCCAGGCTAAGATTTCGAGTATGATTACAAAATCGTATCAGATTTCCATGCGCACAGCGTTCATCTTCATTACAAACATATCGTTCGAAGACACATCGTGTGTCAATCAATTTCTTACAATAAAATTTCACCTTGTCAACCAAAAACTCCTGCGTTCGACATAATACCGGTTCGTCGATTCCCCAAAGACAGTCAACTTGACCGTTATTGATTTTATTGGAAGTGATACATATAGGCAAATTTGAATTTGATGATAGACAAATTTGCTGGTCGACCGAACAATTCAACGGCAATGACGAATAGCAACCAACTTCATCAGCTCCGTTTGGACAATTCCAAATATTATTACAACGAGTATAGATATTGTTACACGCCCACTGTTCGCATTCGGTTTCATCGTTGTCATTTCGTTCGCCATCGGTCGATATCAGTCGTAATTCAGTAAAACCATCACAAATTGCCGGAAACGATATATGTCGAGCAATATGATAACTTTCACCGAGATGTTCATCATCACAAAATCCGTTATGATCCTGTGTGCAGTCACATTGACCATCGCTGACCTTTGTTCGATGAATACACTTGCGGTCCATTACGCAATAAAAAAGTACATCGGATAAATCAATAGGGCAGCTGGTAACATTATTCAAAATGGGGTATTCATCATCACCGTGTTTACAATCTCGTTTACCATTGTAGCGACGCATGATCGGAACACATTTGCTTGAGTTCTGACATTGGTATACAAATTTCCTGTCACACGAGATTGAGTCATTTACAAATAAGGTTTGACATTTCCCAAGAACTCTAGATACGGCATAAGGATACGCTTCATTCCATGGTAGTTGTTGTGGTCGTGTCGGAAATTTGATATAAAGATCTCTCGGACTACGACATGTCACATTATTGAAGATGAATGAATCGCCGAGAACTGGAATTCCCTCGCAGAGATGTTCGTCATAACAGACATAATCAGGTGCATTCTTCATTGCGAATGAATAATCGATATTTGCTTTTTCATAAGCTAAATAAATATGACCAGAATGAATCGGGATCGCAGGCATAAAGAATCGATTCGGACAATGTTCTTCTATCAATAATTCGCAAGATTCACTGCGTATACATATATTAGCACATCGTGGATCTCCATCTGGCAAACGAAGTTGACATTTGAGTGCGGACCAGCAAATATCCGGCATTGAAGGTTCTTTCTCAGAGAAAATATATTCCATTGATTTACCTATCATGAGTCTTACACAGGATCTGGAAGATAATACGAGATATTCAAAAACCTTTACTTTACACACGACATCTTCATATGCAAATGCTGGTGGCAACATGGTTTCATAATAAAATGCGCCTCCGAAGTTTCGTTCATCCGAAGCATCGAGACAATCAGGAACAAGAGGATCATCATTGAAAAATTCCAATGGAATGCACGATCCATCTTGGCATTGAAATTCATTAGATTTACACCTATGAATCTCGAGTTGCCAACAATTTAGTTCATCACTTCCATCGGAACATTGATTTATTTTATCACAAATATGATTCCAGTCAAGACAAAATGAAACCGAGCCAATCTTACATTGAAGACCAGTGTAACATATAATTCCGAGTTGTACATAGCTTTTATCTGTGTAAAAATCATCAAGAATTTCATTTAATGACGAAAAAGAACTTTGAAAATTCAGAAACGAGTATTGACACATTCGACCGAATTGTGGTAGTGTACAGTTATAATACTTTCTTGTTGCTAACGATGCATCGCCGAACATATCAAGTCGATTCAAATACCATTGATATTCTTCGATGACATCGACAGATGCAGACCAATGGTACAAATCATTACTGGTGATATGCTGTTTGTAAAGATCAGCAAACGTAAAGATTTGCTTGTGGTCATAATCTTCGTCATGCCATTCATGCATGCAGTATGGAATTATTTCGTAAAAATCTCTCTTTCCTTTGTTTGGGACAGTTACATAGAGGCAATTATGTTGCGTCGTATCGGTGCTTCGGTTTAAATTTACTAAAGCGAGATTGATACGAAGAGAAACGATAGTTGAAGATGAATATGTTAAGTAGAATAAAATATGTAAAAAGAACATTGGACCTTGACTGTGATAATGTCAGTGCAATTGAAAAGAACCATTTTGTTAAAAACATCCTTAGAAACAGTTTTGCTTATGACTTTCATATTCTTCTTCCATCAATCTTTTGCATGTTGTATTATAAGCAGGTGTCAGAAGAGAGAACATGAAATCGTCTTCTCTGACGTCAATCGTTGAGTGTATAGACAAATAACAATATTAAACTTTTCTTTCCATGAAAACTCCGTTATTAATCATATCGTATCAACATAACTTTTCTGCAATAAATTGTTATTCAAATGACGACTTTTCTATTTCTGTTCATATTCTAGTCAACTATATAGTCTAAATCCTTTAAACTTGCCATCGGAAAAATAATAAGTGCTATGACCAGTTCTCGCACCACTTACGAAATTACCTTTATGCCAATCGCCCTCATTCCATTTCATTAAACCTTTGTCATGCAGCTTTCTGTTCACAAAATCACTAACATATTCTGTACCATCACTGTAAATATAGGCATCAATATAATTATCGCTATTCGTCCGCGATACTTCACCTTGACCAGTTCTTTCACCATTTCTAAAGTTCGTTTCCTATTGAGAACCTTCTGTCCATGAATGACAGCATCCTTAAACAAACTAATATATTTTGTGCTATCAGATCAAATTGAAGTGCTCTGCCATACTTTGTTCACCATTTGAATAATCGATAGTTATGTAATCAATACAAATATTCTCAAATAAAGCTTCCAGTACACGTTTTAAATACGTCGAGAAATCATATGTGTCAAACTTATGCTGAATTCTTAATTGCGCGTTGCCCTCTTTTTTATGATTCATCAAACTTTTTAATCGCTATTATTCTCGTCGATATCCGGCTTGCTGAACGCTCGACCTTCCCGTGGATGAAACACGACAAGTACAATACAACCAATAATCTATAATTCGGCATAGTCTCAACAATGAACACAATAAATACAAAAAAATTGAGCACGCACATCAATTATCTCTGCCTTTGAACGGTTGATGGAATTTATAATGCGACTGTATGTGTATATATTTTTCACACTCAGTCACATACATATATATATATCGATAGATGACGGCAGAGAGAGGCAGAAAGAAATGGATGACTGATTCAAAATATTTGTGATCACTTTCGTTTCACACTGATCCGTTGTTCACCAATTACCGTCATCTGACAAATGTGTGATGTGAAATGAGCTGCTACATTCTTTTATTGCGCGTGTACCGCTTTAGGCTGTAGCATTTCATGGATTTGTTAGTTTTACGCTTATTGTTTCTGGCAAAAAGAACGTGTGTGCTTGCAAGAAGAACAGATGTCTCCATATCTACCTACACCAAACTGGAAATAATTCTTTGCCCGGGTTTATTCTACTCTGGTTGTTATGTATATACTGAATCGATTCACAAGGAAAAAGGAAAAATATTAAAGGGAGAAAATGTTCAGATTAGCAGCAGCACACTCGTGGACATGTTTTGCAGCAGACGGTCTTCTTGACAACTTTGACGACCGGTCGATAGCAGACTGTTTTGGTGACGGTAGTTTTCTTGCGTACACAACATGGAGTACAGCAAGGATCACAACACGGATCACAGCACGAGTCGCAACATGGACCGCAACCACATCCAGAACTGCAGCATGAACCACAGCCACAACCAGAGCCACAACATGGACCACAGCATGGGTCACAACATGGATCGCAACATCCACTTTTGCAGACGACTTTGCTTGAACAACAGACTGGCATGTTGAAGTGATTGAGAATGTGTTGTGTAGAGAAAAGTAGAGGATGTTGAGAACTGGTTGATGAAATGATGAGAGNCTCGGATCCAGCATCGGCTTTGTTGACCTGGGTATATATTTTTGACAAAGTTTCATCGATATTTCTTTATACTCATTGAAAATTTCATATAATTTTATCAATCAGGGTTTTTCATTAAAGGTGATCAAATTCATTAGACTGCCTGTTGGTTAGAGCTCTATGAGTACTGTTGGACAATTCGAACTCCAATTCGAACACAAACATGGGTTTGCTTGTTTATCTACAGGAAGAAAATATGAAAAATATTCCGATTGAACTATTGACAACATTGTTTGTACAGTTGAAATCAGTGTGATTATGTAGATCGTTGCTACATTCATCACTCTTCTTACACCATAGTGATAATAAATGAAGTTTCTTTCTTTGCCCGGACTCGCTTTAATATTTTATTACGTATTTAACTACTGAATCGTTTTACAAAAAAAGAGGCAGTTGGAGACAGTGTTCAGATTAGCAGCAGCACACTCGTGGACATGTTTTGCAGCAGACGGTCTTCTTGACAACCTTGACAACCGGTCGGTAGCAGACTGTTTTGGTGACGGTAGTTTTCTTGCGTACACAACATGGAGTACAGCATGGATCACAACACGAGTCACAGCACGAGTCGCAACATGGACCGCAACCACAACCACATCCAGAACTGCAGCATGAACCACAGCCACAACCAGAGCCACAACACGGACCACAGCATGAACCACAGCATGGATCACAACATGGATCACAACATCCACTTTTGCAGACGACTTTGCTTGAACAACAGACTGGCATGTTGAAGTGATCGAGAATGTGTTGTGTAGAGAAAAGTAGAGGATGTTGAGAACTGGTTGATGAAAAGATGAGAGAAATGATGAGTTTATATACAGGTCAGAAAGAGTGTTTTTTCTTTCATATGGCAGAAACAAACTAACTTTGCCGTAATGTACCAGTACTTGTTAGAGTCGCATGCTTCACGCTGGGAGGAGAAAAGTCTGTTTTTTTTCGCAACGGTTTAATTCAGCAAATTAATGAGACGCTCATGCTCTTTACCTTTATGGTTTCTGTATTGTTTTATGGTATACCGAGCGCATCAATATTTACTTCTGTGTACCGGTACTACAAATGGGTGCACACAGTTATTAATGAAATGGTTTTATCGGAAACGTAACAATCTGGTATGCGACAAGTTTTCTCGTGTAAAAAAGAGAAATTGTTGTAAAAGTGTTCTATCGCAATGTATAGCAACACCAACAAAAAGTGGTAGCACTGAGTTTCTTGTAATATACGAGAACGGACCAACGTTAGCATCATGCAACAGTGCATGAAAAGCAAATGCACATGATCGTATCGTCAATAGATACTGCAACAAATGATTTTGGGAGGAAGAACTCATCACGAAGACTTCTTGAAGAAATTAGAGATTTAGAAGTATTTCCTATATCGTGAATAGTATCATCATTCTTATCTTTTATATATAGTTTCATTTTTATATTTTTTTCCAAGCTGCTTAATGTTATGCAATCTTGTGAATCAGTCTTTTTACGATAGATGTTTATGCTCATCGGTTTGTGTTCTAACTGGGATCTTGTCCGTACCGTTAGACTATGTGAACTACATCGAATACAAGACTGAGCTGATCTGCTCATTGATAGATAGAACATATGAAAATATCTCGATGGAACTACTGACAACACTGTTTGTATAGTTGAAATCAGTGTAATTATGTAGATCGTTGCTACATTCATCACTCTTCTTACACCATAGTGATAATAAATGACGTTTCTTTCTTTGCCCGGGCTCGCTTTAATATTTTATTACGTATTTAACTACTAAATCGCTTTACAAAAAAAGAGGCAGTTGGAGACAGTGTTCAAGTTAGCAGCAGCACACTCGTGGACATGTTTTGCAGCAGACGGTCTTCTTGACAACCTTGACAACCGGTCGATAGCAGACTGTTTTGGTGACGGTAGTTTTCTTGCGTACACAACATGGAGTACAGCATGGATCACAACACGAGTCACAGCATGAATCACAACATGAACCACAACCACATCCACATCCAGAACTGCAGCATGAACCACAGCCACAACCAGAGCCACAACATGGACCACAACATGGACCACAGCATGGATCACAACATGGATCACAACATCCACTTTTGCAGACGACTTTGCTTGAACAACAGACTGGCATGTTGAAGTGATTGAGAATGTGTTGTGTAAAGAAAAGTAGAAGATGTTGAGACTGGTTGATGAAATGATGAGAAAAGTGACGAGCTTATATACAGGTCGAGAAGGGGTGAAATGATGTGATTGTTTTTTTCAACCGAAAAAAAAACACATACCTTTGACTCGACGTAACAGTACGTATAATGATCATGTAATAGAAAAACAGATAACAAGAAAACAGTCTGTTTCTTGTTATCGTGTAATTCGACAGAAAATCAGATGTAACTCGATAGGAACACCTTCGGTTTGTTTTTCTTAATAATATAGTAGAAGATCCATGAATATTCATTTCCACAATCACATAGTTCGTATAACTGTGAAAAGGTAGAATTGACCACAAATATTTTGCCGTCAAAAGAAATCATTTCCTTGTGCGTCTATGCGGCACTTACGGTCTCCGTTTCTCTTGGCTTCAAAACGAGAAAGAGAAATTATGGTACACTTATTTTATAAATGCATATAAGTGCCAGAAGGATGGTGGTAGTTATGTGTATCATTTCGTAATGAATCAACTTTGTGATGGTGCGCCATTATGAAAGAGTGAAGTGTACGGTAATTAAAAAGATGTTTGTAACTATCAATTCCACGGCGGATTGAAGTTATAGATTTTACGGAAGGGCAGAAGCACCACGATTTTGACTAATGTCCGCTTGTCTCGGAGACTAATAAAGTTTTCAAAGCGTTCAGTAACAATTATTCAGTGCAATTTTTCAGATTTTCTTTACAAACAGTTCCGATTCTATACGATTGTGTAAACGGACGATTATCTTTAAAATACTATATATAGTACACAATCATCTCTATATTAAGACACGCAGTACGCAAATCTGTGTCTATTATTCGATGCATAGAAAAGAAGTTTTAATTTCTTCGCCCGGGTTTATTTTATTTTACTGCGTATCTATCTATATACTGAATCGATTCACAAGAAAGAGAGTAGGTTAAAAATAGAAAATGTTCAAGTTAGCAGCAGCACACTCGTGGACATGTTTTGCAGCAGACGGTCTTCTTGACAACTTTGACAACCGGTCGGTAGCAGACTGTTTTGGTGACGGTAGTTTTCTTGCGTACACAACATGGAGCACAACATGGAGCACAACACGGGTCACAGCACGAGTCGCAGCATGAACCACAGCCACATCCAGAACTGCAGCATGAACCACAGCCACAACCAGAGCCACAACATGGACCACAGCATGGGTCACAACATGGATCACAACATCCACTTTTGCAAACGACTTTACTTGAACAACAGACTGGCATGTTGAAGTGATTGAGAATGTGTTGTGTAGAGAAAAGTAGAGGATGTTGGGAACTGGTTGATGAAATGATGAGAGAAATGACGAGTTTATATACAGGTTGAGACAAGGAAAATGAGGAGGGTATTTTTCTGGTAACAAAATTTACATATCTTTGCCCGAGTGTGATAGTATGAGGTGTGTACATTTCATATAGACGCAAAGGAGGAAGGTATTAATTTTGGTCGCAGTTGATTCAAATACAAGAAACGCATGATACTCATGGTCATTAGAAACATTTTTCATTCGTTTGTCACACCAGTTATGATAGGGCAAAAATGTTGATGTCGTATGTTCTACCGTAGTACGCTGCTCGTGTCGTAAAATTACGATGGAACTGCAACAAGCATATCAATAACAATCAACTGGCAATAGGAATAGCTTAAAACTCAATTGTTTGACCCGATGGAGTCGTTATTTGAGTAGAAAACAATTTTAACCCTAGTCCTCCCAACATGGGTCATTTGTGACCTACATACGAAGTAGATGTTTTTTGATAAGTAACAGAGTATGAGATTTAGTTTTGATTTTTCGTTAGAGTTAAAAAGGTCATTGTTTTAATGTGCTCTGTGTGAAATCAGATGTAAAATGTCATAACTTAAATTGTAGGGCTAGTTGCAAAAAAAATCCTAAAAGAGCACGGGAGGACTAGGGTTAATAATTTTACGATTCATATATTCTTGAAAAGTTTAACTCCGATATGTTTGTATCGTTGAAAATTGTCGTTTTGCTCCTAGCAAAATAGTGTTTGATGGATTTTTTATCAAAACGTGAGTGCAAATAAGTATTGATTTCTTTTTCGTTCATCCAACGAAATAAAACTTCATTGCATGAGAGTTTTGTTTAACGAACGCAGAGAATGAAAGGATTCTATGTAAACATGCATGAAACCTACATGCTGTGTAAAGAGAATTTGATAGTAGGAGGAATTTTGAGTAAATAATAATGATGAACTTACGTGCAATATACGCTCGTATCTCATCGTCGTATTGGCGCCAACGAATATTATTCTTAGTTCTCTTGGCGAGTTCCACTCTTTTATGTTTTTTACTATTATCTTCAACATTGCATTACTCTCAAACGTGTCTTTATCAAGCACATCTTATTTACAATCGACTTGAGTTCGATGGTATTGATACTATCGAACATTTTGCTGAATTCATATGTCCACAAAATGTTCGCCACCTAGTTGATTGGATTTATGGCTGGCCAGATGGCGTATTTGAAGAGAAGATTGGGGTCCCGACTAATGCAATCCATGTTGCACCCTGTTTACCATCAGGTAGTATCATCATTGTCAAGACTTATTATTTATCGAGTTTCTTTCGTCGCGTATATCCACAACTACTCAACAAATTCGTTTTAAAAACCACTCAAGTAGATGCATCTGCGCCTCTCGAATTTCTGTCCTATTTTCACGAGAGCAATTCAAGAATCATTCACTGGTTTGTGCAAAATTCTGATGTTCATTTGCCAAACAATGATCGATTTACATCCATTCCTATCGGTAAGACATTAGCACACTATGGGTGGTAAAGACTCTTGTCTAGGTATCAGTAGCTATGAAATGACGAATGCTATTCGGTATATCTATCAATAACATTCTAATTACACATTTCCGTCGATTTGTGATGATGAAGATGAACCGCAGTGTTGCACACATCTTCTTGACATCACTGGGCGAGTTTTGAGAGGATATTTATACTAGCAGATCCTTCTTCTCAACTTCCAGCGAATCACTGACTACACTGGACTGCGATCTCGTCTCTAGTAAACTCTCTGTCGCGATCAGCTCACATCCACATTCATCGCATGCAGAGATAAACCTCCGGGTTTTCATATGTCGAACCTTTCTGTCATTCATATCTAAATCGTCACTATTCTCTGTGGCTCTCTCCTTGTGGTAATGACCTTAATTGCTATCGAACCCAGGAAACACTCTATCTAGACGTCATTCCTGTAGTATGGAATTCTACCATTGAATCCTCTATTCGTTGATCTGCCTGTCGTTATTGTTAACAACGAGACAGATCTCATCGAACAGTATCTTTATCAGAAACTGAACGAACTCGCTAAGAACAAGATAGCCAATCCAAGCATCTTTATATGGTAGAAACTAAGATTCAGATATTGGCGACAAATAATTTTGAGCAAATCTCGACACCTTGTCGCAGCAACTAAACGAGAAAATCTCTGTTGGCATGGCAGGACTGTACACTAGTTTACTTGGCAATGCTAATGTAGTTCACCTCTTTATTACATCACATCGACACTGTTATATTTCTTACTTCTCTCTTTACTCATTCTATAATTTATGCTACTGATAGAAAAAAGACTATTGTGTTTTTGTAATTTATTCATCTATTTGCTTTGGCTAAAACAGAACAAGTTTGTTTAACTTTAATTTTTAGTCATACGTACAATCTTGAGGCAGTGAGCGAGAAAAAAAACGTACTTTTTCGTATTGTGGATTTAATTGTTGATAGAAATACAATCTCAGCAGTCTTTTTGCATAATGCACCGGGCGAACAATCCAGAACAGTGAGTTATTACTGTGTACTTTATCGAATTTTAGAACCTTCGGTGTAAGTTCATGGAGTATTGGTTATAATTATTCTAGCTATTTTATTATAGCTTTCGGCATGAAACACACACTTCCTATTGGCTCAATACAAACAAAATCTACTCACATCCAAGCACGCCTGACAAAACAAACAAAGTTAAGCAGTAGCGTTATGGAAGCTCCTGCAAGACTTGTTAAACAAAATATCGCCGCACAGGCATCATCTCTGACGGTATGTTTGAAACAAAGTGAAATAGATAGAATTGAAATTTTCATTTCTGTCATGTGACTTATGTTCTAGAGATTAATGAAATCCCAACATACGGTGTCAAATAATTTCAAAGCAGTACATGTTAAGCGATTGTCAAAGAAAACGATCTACAATCATAATTCTTCGCAGCAGCCAGTCACAGTAATTTCATGTCGAATACCTATCTCATGATTCCCTATTCAATGGACTTTAGACATTGGCAACGAGCAACGTGAACATCGAAAATATTTCACCTGAGCCAATGTATACGTCTTCGTTAGACTCTGACTATGATCATCATGTACCCGCTGCTCGATCTAACGAAAGTTCGTTTGTAATGCTACAGTCGAACAAATCGAATAAGGACGACAAGTTTTCGCAGTGTTCACCTTCAAAGGTAATTGATTAACATAAACTATTTTCGAGAGAGTTAGCTTCGTCCGCTCCAGAAAAATATACATTTTTCACAGGTGAAAAAGAACATACTGGATATTAACTCGCTGGCTCACAATGCATTCACAAGTCATCGGCCAAGAATGACTTTCGATATCACAACCGATAGAATAATAAGAAATGAGTATGAAATTCACGTAACACAAGCATTGCTCACCATTATCTTTTTATATTTAGTCATAAAAATCGCAAAATGTGTGCAGCTCGTTTTCCTCTTTGGTGTGTAGTTCTGTCCTGCATGTGCTTTGTTTTCCTAGCGGTTGTTATTGCTGCAATTATTGCACTCGCTATAGGTAAGAACAAATGATTTTGTTTATTCTCACCATCGAGTTTTAAATCTTATAATTCATCCGAAAAAATTCATTTGCTTTGTATTCAAGTTTTAACAAAGACTAAGTCAACAACTTCAACGACACTTTCAACGGGTACGTTGAAGAACCACTCTAAACCGAGTGATACAATTTCTTTTCACGGATAATCAACATAATCGTTCAAACATTCTCTTTATAGTATCAATGACTACGACCACTCCTACTGCTTATTGTGCTAGTACTTGTACGGGTAGTTTTAATTCGTCTGCCTCAATCACTTGCGGTCTGTATTGTGATGACGGTGGCGGCTACTATTGTCGTCCCAGTTCGACTTATTGCGCTGGTAAATATTTTAGTCCAACTGGCTTTGGATATTGTGACCCTGCGAGTAGTCAGTATACAGGCCCTTGTAATACTACTGATCATTGCTGTGTTTACGATAATTATATTCCTGACTATTATTGTCTCAGTCGGAGTTCATGTGGTTTCACTGGATAAAGCTTGACATCAGTTATTTATTATGAACTTTAAACGTAAAGCCTTTAACCCTTTCAGTTTCGGCTTTTTTGCGAAAATCGACTTTTTTTAATGATATTTCTGAAGATTGTTTTAATTTCTTTAAAAAAATGACATATTTGTCTCAAGCAGTCATTAATAGTTCATCTTTGTATGGTATTCTCTGAAGCAATCAACGATACACAGAGGTACATCGCAATCGGGACAGATATATCGTGTATCACTATGAATACTATGTGATGCACAACCGACGCATTTTCTTCGAGGTTGGCTTGATTGTGATGTTTGTGGAATAAGTGCAAGAAAATGTCGATCAGTTAGAAGAAGAGAAGGATCTCATATTGATGATCTCCCTATCGTAGTTGATCTTTGTGGTCCATACTTCGTCAAAATTTGTCTGATTACTTCAAGTCGAAGATCAGAGGAAATATTGTTCTCCATTTTGTGAATAACAAATGCATTATATACTGCCATATACAAAACATGGAAAAAAAGCTTCTTGTACTATTTTAGTGACTGCATTGGAATGTACTAGAATGAGAGAGTGTGTGTATTGTCATATAAGACGAAAGAAAGCGCATAGAATATAAATATGTATGATTAATAAGCAGAAAGGGAAGAAATGAGGATTACTCTAAAGTCGTATCACCAAATAAAACGAGTGAGAGGCGTTATAAACAATTAAAAACTATATCAGGAGTACCTTTTTCAAATAATTGTATTTGAACGCATATATGCGTCGCCGGGACTCAAAATGTTAATAACTGCGCATATTTCCTCACGTTTTCTGTCTGTTTGAACATAACGAGCGGATCTTTGCTTAAAACCATGATCGAGACATATTTTATTTGAAAAAAAAAGAATATTCAATGAAATGTCAAGAACGTGATGTAGATCAAAATCAATATACAAATGAAATGAATCATCATTTATTTTATTGACGGAAAAATGACACGTCTCAGCACCAATATCTCAATCTGCATGTGAAACACCTGTTTGGTAGTTATTCAATGTTCAAATAAAAGCATAAAATTGGATATATTCATATTTTTGTATTGTATGCATAGCGATAAAAGTTTTCTGATTGTTTCTGTTTTTCTACCTAAATACGTAATCAACAAGAACGCCTGGGAACAGGAAAAATATTTTAAAAAGCCATTTGCTATCATCAGATAAAAATTTCTTTGCCAGAGAAATGTGTAGTCTCTATATTTTCATCATATTGCTAATTCCCCTCGTTTTCGACGATGTTACACTGGGTAAGTTTATCTACTGATTGAATTCTCTCCATACATTCGATTAACAGAAACGGAACGCAGTAGGATGTATTTGTTTCTTACATATTTCAGCTGTTTCATTCAATCAACCGAATCTATCCTCGAGAGCAACTTGGAACCGTAATGGAATGATTTTTGCGAGCCAGCCAATTGTTGGCGAAAATGTCAAAGCCATTTTTATCGATACAAACAATTCAATCTACGTCGTCAATCAACAGCAGAAAAAGATTCTCATTTGGCAAAACAGTAGTTCCACACCAACAAAAACGATCGAAGGAGATTTCTCACTTACTACGCCGGTATTTGTGACGCCAAACGGTGATATTTATCTCGATAGTGGATTAAAACGCAAGGAAGTAATCAAATGGAAAGCAGAGACAGGGAGATTTGAGGCTGTTATGAAAGTGGGATCACAATGCTACGGTTTGTTTGTCGATATTAATAGTAATCTGTACTGTTCATCGTACTTAATTCACAAAGTGCTGAAAGGAGACTTAAGTAAGTCCTCGTTGAATCCGATCGTTATCGCCGGAACGGGTTATCCAGGATCTGATTCTCATGAGCTTTACGCACCTTTTGGGATCTTTGTCGATGTGAATTTGAATCTATATGTCGCAGATAGCAGTAATCATAGAGTTCAGTTGTTTCTATTCGGAGAAACCAATGCTATCACCGTTGCAGGAAACGGCTCCTATCGCTTCACTGTTCTACTCAACTATCCCACTGCAGTTATATTGGATATGAACAAATACTTATTGATTGTGGATTCAGATAATAATCGAATCGTTGGAGAAAGTCCGCATGGTTTTCGATGTTTAGCCGGATGCTATGAACAAGGCAATCAATCGAATCAATTACATTTCCCAATTACTTTCAGTTTCGATAGCTTCGGTAATATGTTTGTTGCTGATCAAGGAAATAGTCGTATAACGACATTCTATCTTATGAATAACTTCTCTGGTGAGTAGACAAAAACTATAGGCAATGACCGTACTAAGTCCATTTTACGCGTAGTTTTTGATAGTTGTGTCTGTTTTTATCCAACGAAAGTAGATGATTTCGAATTCTTTCTCATTTTCTAGCTGTTTCATTCAATCAACCGCAACTCTGTTTAAGCGCAACGTGGAGTCATGATGCAATCACTTTTGCTAACCAATCGATTGTAGGTGAATGGCCTGCAGCCTTTTTCATCGACAAAGAGAACTCAATCTACGTTATAAATCAGTTAGAAGAAAAGATGTTTGTATGGCATAATAGTAGTCACAGTCCATCAAATAGTATTGCGGGCAACTTCTCAAATCCGCAGTCCATGTTTGTAATGTCAAATGGTGATATATATCTTGATGATGGCTTCAGGAACATGAAGGTGACCAAATGGATATCGGATACAAAAAGATTCGAAACTGTCATGGAAGTAAAATCACCATGCTACGGCCTGTTTATCGATGTCGAGAACAACATGTACTGTTCATTTACCGATGAACACCGTGTAGAGAAAATAAATCTGAATAATTATCCGATGACAGCAACAACTGTTGCTGGAACAGGTCATATGGGATCTACTGCTTATACACTCAATCGACCTAGCAAAGTTTTTGTTGATGTGAATCTGGATCTGTTTGTAGCAGATTGCTTCAATCATCGAGTGCAGTTGTTTTCGGTAGGGAAAAAGCAGGCCATAACTGTTGTGGGAGATACATCTCTTCGTGCTACTTTTTCGTTGCGACTTCCCAATGGAATTATATTGGATGGAAACAATTATTTGTTTATTGCTGATTCAGGTAATAAGCGAATTGTTGGAGAGAGTTCATACGGTTTTCGATGTTTGGTCGGATGTTACGGACAAGGCAGTCCATCGAATCAATTAAATTTCCCGACAGTTATCAGTTTCGATAGTTCTGGCGATATGTTTGTTGTCGACGAGCGAAATAATCGCATCCAAAAATTTCGTTTCAAAGATTCTTGCCGTGAGTTTGATAAAACGCTGAATTCTAATTCAGCTTATTATAAGTTGCTTTTGGTAGGGACAAGTTCTTTTACTTCTATCTCTAGATTCTACATATAATCAACCGAGATTTTGCTCGATGTCTGTTTGGAATCATAATGGAATGACATTTGCTAATCAATCGATAGTTGGTGTAAATCCTTCAGCGATTTTCATTAGTGGAAAAGATTCGATTTACACGATTAATCAAGAGAAGAAACAAGTTTTAATTTGGCACTCGAATGAAGTCGTGTCGCCATCAATTATTCCTACTGAATTTCACAATTCATCATCTATTTTTGTTTTACCAACTGGTGATATTTTCATTGATGATGGAGCAGTAAAAAGTCATCTACAAAAGTACGTTTTCGATCAACAGATATTCGTCAATGCAATGAATGTTTTCTCGTCTTGCTTTGGTTTATTTGTGGATACAAAGGATTATGTGTACTGTTCGATGCCGGAACATCATCAAGTTACTAAAAGAGACTTTAATGACCCCGTCATGGTGCTAATTGTTATAGCTGGAACGGGTGATCGAGGGGCGACTTCCATTAAACTGAATCGACCTCATGGAATTTTTGTTGATATGAAACTCGATTTGTATGTAGCAGATTGCGGCAACGATCGGATTCAAAAGTTCTCGCCAGGAGAGATATCTGGATACACAGTAGTGAGTGGAGCGTCAAAACGATACAAATATTCGCTTTCGTGTCCAATTGCGATTATAAAGGACTCTCAACAGTTTTTATTTATTATCGATTCGAATCATCATCGTGTTATCCGAGCAGGATCGAATAGTGTTCGTTGTGTTATTGGATGTGATGGAATCAATATTAAATCTACTGAATTAGCGTCTCCATCCAATCTTGCTTTCGATAGTCTTGGAAATATGTTTGTTGTGGACAGAGCGAACAGTCGAATACAAAAATTTTACTATTCGAAGAATTCATGTAGTAAGTTTGAGTGAAAGGACGTCGAGTTATCTTGTTCTTGATTTATAGATATGTCAGCAGTCTTTGAACGGAAAAAGTCATCGAAACTGAATGAGAACAGTCAAATTTATTCTCGAAATTGTGACTGGCGAAACTATCATTACGAAGCATTTGAAATGAATGTTGCCGAAAATCGGTATTACACAGTATACAGTAGTGCTTCTATTAATACATATGGCTCTATCTATGAAAATAAGTTCAATCCACTTAATCCAGCTGAAAATCTTCTCATCCAAAATGATAATGGTACATCGAATGATCAATTCAAATTTGAACTTCCTCTTTATGACGACACGACGTATGTATTAGTTGTGACTACATCGAATCCAATGGTCATTGGCGATGTTACAATTCATATATCGGGCTTAATAGATACGACTGTCAAACGTTTGAGTAAGTATAAGAAAAAGTATCAGTATGACGATAGTTAATGATCTGCTTTTGTTGCCGTTGAATAGCCAGCCCAATTCATATTCTCTTCAATCATTCATCGGAACTGACAAAAAACAGTCCAATGTACTATCGAGATTGTCATATACCAAAATGTTATTATGAAACTTACGAAATTCGTGTTAATACAAATGGATCTTACATCATTTGGAGTGTAAGTGAAATGCATACGTATGGTTATATCTATCAAAATAACTTCGATCCTCTCAGACCATCCAGTAATAAACTCTTTGAACATAATGGGACATGTAACCAAGAGCAGTTCAAATTTATTGTTGACTTACAAATCAACACTCGGTATATATTAGTCGTTACAACTTTTCATTCATACACAACAGGTAGATACTCTCTTTCTATATCTGGATTGAATGAGACCAATGTTACCGTCGTTCGTTCTAGTAAGTAATCACTTAGAATAGTAAACTTCTTAGCCCATTCTCACATGATTTAATCCTAGATCCAAAAATTAAATATTGCGTAATTGGTGATCAATGTAAACTTCATTATAAAAGTATTGGTTTGACTTTGGATGATATCTTATATGAAGAACTTCGCAAAAATTCGACCTTGAGTGAACAAATCTTTTCAGTGAAACTAACAGCCGCCCTGACAATTCTCATGTTTATTGCAGGTCTGATTAACAGTTTATTCTCTTTTACCACGTTTCAAAATAAAGAAACACAAAAAGTGGGATGTGGATTATATCTTCTCATATCATCAATTACTTCATTTCTCACGGTGGTTATGTTCGTTATTAAATATTGGTTTGTGCTACTGACTCAAATCAATGATGTCACAAGTGTTTCTATTCATAGGGGTGGTTGTAAATCAATTGAACCTATTCTCAAGCTATTTCTATATTTTGATGGTTGGTTGAACGGTTGCGTTGCTGTTGAACGAGCCTTTCATGTATTCAAAGGAGTTACCTTTGACAAACGAAAAAGCAAAGTTGTCGCTCAATGGGTGATCGTGATTTTACCACTGTGCATTTCGGGAACTTTGATGCATGAATTTATCTATCGTGATGTATTTTCATATCAAATAGCTCGAAATACGACGTTCGAGAATGGAACAGAAGTAGTGGGCACTAGACGATATGTCTGGTGTGTAACCGGCTATTCTCCTTCGGTTCAAAACTACAATACAGTCATTCTATTCTTTCATCTTCTTGGTCCGTTCGTTGCCAATCTTTTTTCGGCTTTGTTTATTATTTTAGGAGCTGCGCGACAACGGCGAAAAGCACAATCGAATCGAAGTATGAAAATGCATATTCGTGAACAAAT